TTCATCCGGGGTCGCTCGGACGACGTCGTCGACAATCAAGTCAAGGTCGCCGACAATCGGGTAAAAACGCGTTAAAATTCAAATTTCACCGCGATCGATCGTTTCAAAGAGTTTATTCGAGTCTTCGATAGGTAACAGTGCAAGCGATGTGAATTGTGGCGATCGGACGGGTAGACTCTCCGAATTGCGAAGTTTGTGCGCGCGGGAGTACGAATTGTGCAGAAGGCCACCCTAAGGCTTAAAAGGTCCTATAAGAATTCCTTTTGGGCTTCCTCATGCCGGTTTTACCCTTCTAAGTGCTAGAAGTTGACACCACAAACGCGAAACCACAAAAGAGGACAGAAGTAGGTCTAACTTTTAAAATGAGGCGGGTCTCATTTCTAAGGTTCTAAGATAGTCGAAGGGAGATCCCTAAGGCTAGATCCTAAATCCTAAGAGAAAGACTAGTCCTCACTAAAAATGAGGTCAACACAATGCGAGACATCACAAGAGAAATAGGAAGTGGCTGAAATTTCTAAGGGGATGAATTTCAATACTAGTTTTCTAAGATAGTCAATTGGAATCCCTAGAGCTAGATCATAGGATCCGAAGAAAAAGAGTAATGACCTAAAAATGAAGTCAACATAGGACAGCTGATCTGGCAAGTTCAGCAATTGTCCCAGCTGAAAATGAGGGCTCAAACAAAGAAGACGGCGAGATATGCTTATTCTTGAGCAAGATACAGACACACCTCTTGCAAAAAAAAATATAATATTTCGTAGATCACAAATCAAAGAATAAAATCTCTCAAAACACAAAAAACAAAGGTAAGTCCTCAAAATAGAAAATACCCTAATTAGAAATAAGAAAATAGAAAAGAAATCTAGAGAAGTAAAAAGGAAAGAAAAAAAGAGGCTAAAATCAGAAATCAGTAATTCAGGAACATGGGGACCGTGATTTCTGGTAAGAGTTTTGCGAAGATCGTGGAATTCAATCGTTTCGCAATTCTGTAGAATCTAGGGAAGCAATTAAGCTCCCAGATTAGTAAGAGTTTCATAAACAATGGTAAAATCCTCATCTTTTAGAAAATGCATAGACAGGTGTGCAAGTAACACTTTAGTATATGTGTGCTTCTTATGTGTTTGCCTTAGCTAATCAGTAATATCAATACCCATGTACTTAAATGTTGAGCAGAAAAAACTCGCATAAAAAAAACATATTTGATACCAGAGTTAACCCAAATCATATTAGGAAAAGCAAATATTATTACTAAAAGCAAATATTATTACTAAAAGAAAATATAAGGTTACAATCAACACAATTGAAAGGAAAAATGCAGCACACACAACACAAAACTCGCGTGAGGGCGGATCCCGGATGATGGTGGCGGTTAGGGAGCTCAGATAGGTGGCGGCAAGGTAGGAAATAGGTTTACGGACTATGGATAAAGGGTGGCAAAGGTTATGGACAACTAGAACAGCAGGACAGCACAGGGCGACAGTCCAAACAGTAGCATGTAGTTGTTTCGGGCTGCTAGACAGCAGCAAAACAGAACAGAGAAGACATTGTGTGTTGCGGCAAATAAGGTGGAGGGTTCGGACAGCATGGGCAGCAAGGACGAGGGAGGAGAAGGTGATGGAGGCGGCTGGAACAGCAGAAAATAGCAATTGGGATGTTGTTACAGGCGGCTGCAGCGAGGTTCGCCAGCAAGGAGTGATGTGGGAGATGCAGAAAGAGATATGAGGAAAATAATCACCACCTCGGGAGAAAGATACAGCCATAGCACCACCCAATCCCTTAAATACAGCTCTCGAAGTGGAAAATGGACAGCGGCTGTCCAGACAGAAATATGAAATATAACTCACCAAAACCTACTAATCTAAACCCTAATACACATATATATAGGGAAGTGCTAAAAAGGAACAAAGAATTATAGCAAAGAAATAATAAGAAAGGAAAACGGGACTGTTTTGGCGGCACGGCTCTCACCTCCCGTTATTTGTTTACGAGAAAACTGTCCAGGAAAAAAAGCTCCCGCGCACATCCAATTTATGAATCAGACTTAACAGATAGTAGTTTGGAATTCAAATTACGACAATCAGTAAAGCATAAAAAGTTGATGCATCGTTTTTCCAGAATGGGAAGATGCGTTCTGTGTATCAATTAGTGATAACTGCTCAGGTCAGCATTTTTGAGCTGGGAGTTGGACATAATATCCTCAGAAAAAGTCCAACAATACATGAATCAAGTCTCACGGAATGGAAATAGAGTAGTGCTTATATATAAAAATGATCATCAGCCAAAAAGAAAGTTTAGCAAATCCAAATAATATGCAGTAGCAATTTCGGTGAAGCGTCGGTAAGACTTACATACTAGACCTGTGGTATCAATGTCATGCTCATTGGAGATTTTAAAATCGTCCAGATCAACACAATCGTCCAACCTCTGGCTGCAACATTTTTGCAAAAGATGATAGGGAATAAGGAAATATAAGTTCTTAAGCTAATTTATTTAAACTGCAAAAGATTGAGATCAAAATGTCTGCTGAAATGTCAACAGAAAGGTGTGGTGCAAACACCATAAACAAACGAATTTACATACTATAACCCAATTCTTATGTATTTTAATATTTAATACCTATATTTTGCTTTCTACATTCATACCACCCAAATTTTTCATATCACATCAAAACCATCACTATTTTAACTTTAAAAAAAAAATACGCCTTGCATGCTTAGATAATGTCTCATATATGTAAGAATTGAAGTTTGGGTGTAAGATGCATAAATACATAAGAATTGAGTGGTATGTATGTAAATCTTCCTACACAATGTATTCAACACAGCTGCATTGACATGCATATGTACAAATACATAAATACTCATTCATTCCCTCTTAATGACACCTCATTGGCAGGAACTAGAAAGCCGCAAGCAAATGGTACACCTTACATATCCACAAATACACAAAAGCACCCATAAGCCCTGTACACATATGCGAACTATAAAAAGTATCTCCAGGTACACTTTGAAGTAGAAAAATATTCTAGTAAGGCAATTGAGGCAGACATGATGGTGGGGGATGCGGAACTAAATAGCACTCTCAAGGTACACTTTGAAGTAGAAAAATATTCTAGTAAGGCAATTGAGGAGACAATTGACAACCATGAGAAACTAGTAGATTTATCAATGATTGATCAACCTATAAAGAAGCCAGAGGCTTCAATGTTTAATGTCAACACACACCATGCATCAAATCAATAACAAAAGCAATAAATATTATTACAATATGGTTATGGCAATCGTTATGATACAAGGTTAATTGATATGAGTGAAATAAATAGATAATAACATTGTGAACTAAGGACATGTGTCACCATCTCAACAATTGGTGAAATGTTTGGACATTTATGTCAGTGTACGGGGTCAAAGCACCTATATAACATCCTAACAGTGGAAGCAATGGAAAGGCATGCAATCTATGATGGAGTAAGCAATACCATTAGAAACCAAGGCACAATCTATATCTCCATTTATAAAAATTATAGATCAAAATACTAACTGAAAGTTTCTTAAAGCCAAGTGCCGCAACAAGTTCATAAATAGCCCCTTAGATAATCTCTGGATCAAGTAAAACCTCATTCTAGGGCAGAAAATCAAACAAGAATATCACATCATCAGTCTTGCTCAAGTAAAAGTTCACGCATGGGTGATCAATTATCATTGATCACGGGACTGGTAGAGTAAATAGAGTTTTTTTAGTTGCTCGGGCAAAAGCCATATGTGATCTTTTTGAAACTACATAGGATAACTAAGAGAAGGTTATAAAACTATAAAATGAAAATGCAGGATATAAGTTTCAACTTGATAGAGTAATAACCATGGTTGTGTCATCTTTTTCTTTATAAGAAGATTCATGACAAGAAATTGCTTATTTCTTTATGGAATCGAACAACAAATTTTTTGAACAAACAGACTAATCTTCACGAAAAAAAACCCAAAAAAATAGGGGCCAACATATCACATCAATAGATTTCTAGTGATCACAACAGACAATTCGTCAGTAATTTTGTTGATCCCCATCAACATTATTTATGCAGTAATGAGGGCTTTCTTTAATCTTTTATTTCTCCTTTGTTATGAGATTCAATTTTCTCCTCTATTTTTCGTGATTGTTTCTCCATCAACCTTGTTGACTTGCAATTTTCACTTATCTTCTTTGAATATAGTGTTTTATGCCCTTATTTGTTTATTTTGATTTTATACTTTATATTAAAAAATTACAATTTTTTTTCAACTTTATTAGTTATTTTCTAAAATATTATTATTCACTATGCTTTGAGAGGGTAAAATGGGCCCACTTCTTTCATATTTTTTTAAAAATATATACATTTTTTATAAATATAATGTACTCTCTTTGGGATCTGAATATACATAATCCAAAAAACTTTCAACAACAACAACAACAACAACAAAGCCTTAATCCCATTACGTGGGGTCGGCTACATGAATCCTTTTTCTCCATTGCATCCTATTTAGTGTCATATTTTCATTTAGTTCTAGTAAATTAAGATCATTTTTAATACAATAAGCCCAAGTCTTCCTAGGTCTACCTCTGCCTTTCTTAACACAAGTCGAATTTAAAACATCTACTCTCCTAATCGGATCATCTAATGGTCGACGTTTAATATGACCAAATCATCTAAGACGACTTTCTCTAATTTTGTCTGTCACAGGAGCTACACCAACCCTATCACGAATATATTCATTCCGCATTTTGTCTCTAAGTGTAAAGCCACTCATCCACCTAATCATTCTCATCTCGGCAACACTTAACTTATTATTATGCTTCTCTTTTAAAGGCCAACATTCAACGCCATAGAGCATTGCAGGTCTCACCACCATCTTATAAAATTTT